TGTCCATTCTAAAAACGAGTAGTTTTAATTCTATATGACAACGGTGTTACATCGTACTTCCGCATAGCTACTAGCTAAAAGCCCAGACACGTGTTTCGCCGGGGTTTCTGCTCCTGCATGATCCAGCAACGAGGGGTTCGGTTCTTCCTATATCATATATAATATGTAATATAAACTATCTATGTAAACTAATGTAAAGTAAACTAGAACAGATGTGAACTCGAACAGCAGCCAAATGTGGCTAACAAATCTAAAAGTAAATTGAAACCTAACTAAACTAAAAGAAGTATAAAACCAAGATTAGAACAAATAAAACTTAATAATAAACTAAAAGGAAAACTAAAACTTAGCAGAAAAATAAAATAAACTATAAGTAATTTGGTTGCATTTCTCTTTTTATTTATGGCGCTCTTTTTGTTAGCAAACCTTAGGCTAAGCATTAGATAGGTTAAACAATTTCTGCGAAGTAAACGCAACATCCGCCGTTTGCAAATATCCAATTCTAATTTGCTCAATACTTTCGATTGAACATGGTAACTTCTCTGGAAGGTAGCCTGAGACTGATTGGTAGATTCCGATGAGGGTACGAATTTGACCTCTTCCCTTTTTCCTCCACAGGGCGCTTCTTCGAGCATTGTTGTCAAGTTCGCGGATACTGAAAAGGAGCGTCATTCGAGGAAACTGCAGCAACTGATTGGACCACTGGGCTTCATCAATCCTACCCTGGCCTTCTCCCAACTCGGAAATGCTGCCTACTCTCAGGTTTTAGAGGCAAGTGTCTTGCCGGAAAGATCTGTCCCCTGCCAGTCAGAAGTACAATCCTTAAATACGGTAATGAACACTGCACACGGCTTAGTGATTTCAGCTGAAGTTTCAAAGTCTGAGTTAATTTAAATGTCCGCATCCACTTCGCAATGTGACTGGAGTTTGAACGGTAACGCCAATAAAGTTTTAGTAGTATTTGCGGAATGTATAGCAGTGTAAGTACTATTATTAATAGGAGAGACACGATTTTGAATGTTAATTTTTGTGGGGTTATAATACGCCACATTAATAGTAGTAATATTCGTAGTAATATAAATAGTAGTTGAAGTATTAGAAGTACCAATGTTAGAAGGAACAGTAGCAGTAAATAAGTAGCATTGCACGTATGATATTAAAGGTGGGAGTAATAATAATAAAATTAGTGGTAAGGATTGTTTTTACGGCCACCTTAACGGGAGACCAGAATAGGAGGCGCCCACAATGCATGTGGCTTTTCGAAAAATTCCGGATGGAGGTGAGGGTGTGGGTGAAATTTAGGGCCAGTACTATGCTAAGGGGTAAGGCTTGGGCTCATATAAACCGTAGGGTTTGGGTTAAGAATAAGGCTATGGGTACTATTTAGGTCGCAGTTTACAGTTTGCATGGAAATACCTACCCTTGCCGAAATTAACGCAAGACCGACTATTGTAAATGAGCAGGGCCGTCCTGTTTGGCTGCCCATACAAGTCACCCTTATTCTACCAGTATTAGAAGTAGTAGTGTTAGTAATAATAGACATTACTTTCGGTATTTAAAGTAGTATGACTAGAGCTTGCACAGTAGCAGCAGTAAACTTCGAGTTACAGTGATAGCAGCAATATTCCTATGATTAATTGGGCAGAAGATTCAAAAAGGCATTACTGACCGTGAAACGGGAGACTGAAATAGCCATTTCGAGCTTATTAGCCGTCAGCAGCCAGCTATACCCAACCCCAGGTGTCGCAGGCACAGATTAGACAACTATAGTTAGCGATGGGCTCTATGGCCGCCTACGGAGGACAGAGGAATATGGTAGCCCCAGATCACTAGCCGTTTCGTGGCTGCTCTCAAGGTCCGAGCAATGAGACCCAAGGCAGGGCAGAACCAGTGAGGTCCGTTAGTCCCTACGTGAACGTTCATCAACGAGTGTCAATAACTCCGGACCTAAACCAGCATAAAAACGAGCTTGTGGCTCATTGGTTAGAGCGTTAGACTCTCATCTAAAAAGTCGCGAGTTCGAGCCTTGCGTAGTGTACCACTTGGAGTTGGGT